AAATTGCTTTTTTCTTAAAAAGACTCAGTTTTACTGGAAGAAAAGTCTACTTTGAGTTTGTCTTTTGTTTTAATTTAAAGTTTAAAGTACGCTTTATTTAACTTACCAGTAAAGTTAATGTGCCATCTCTAGTCTTGAGCTCTTTTGAAGTCTCCCAAAGTCAATTTTCTGACATTATGGTTCTCGGAAAAAGTTTTAACTCATGAATAGAGCATCTTAGAAATGTAGGGCTTGTATAAATCTATCGCTCCAAAATCATAACATATTTAAACCAAGTTTTCAGCCTCTGAATGAAAATCTTACTCTCAACTCATATCAACGTCAAGTTGGCCTCGACACCTTTTTTTTTATAGTCGAGAAACACATCTCAGAAAACTTGGTTTTATGACGGCACATTTTCCGCAGTATAAAGTTGGATTTTATTATTTTTCAAATTTTTGTTTTTCTTTGGATAGGTTGTTATCGAAGCTACAAGTTTGCCACAGATTGTTCTTTTATGGGATGTATAATTGAGTTGGATTTCATTTTTTTTTCAATTGACTGAAAATAACGCTCCATGTCGTATAATTCCTTCACGGCATGTAGTTGTGCTCATAAAACAAGAATAAGAAGAGCGAACTCAATGTAACTTCCTGTAGATATAGAACAGTTGAGTTTATGTCTTCCGTAAAAGTTCCAGTCTTACAAGTTTCCGCTAAACTGAAATACAAGATACTCACTGGGAAAAAGCATGATGCCATCATTTATTGACAACTTGTACTCTCATTCAAAATTATTCTAAGAACAGTAAGAGCGATTGCTTTTTTTAAACGTCAACAGGCTCCATAGATCTTACTAAATGAGACATGTCTTATCTCAAACGCGAAGTATTCTCCAGAGTGTTTTCCTCGTTAGAATAGAATACTAAGTTCGAATAGTCTTTAGCAATTATGTTCTTTATATATAAACATTAAGTTGAAAATTTTTTCTGTTGTTTTAGTAAAGCATAAGATACTTTTACAATTTTGTTGTTGACTATCTTTGGTTTCTTGTTGTTTAGCTTCAATCATTGGTTCAGATTCATTGGATAATTGTTTAATACGATCTTGATATGCATAAATAAGAAGATTACAAATATCACGTTGTTTAGAATCAAGTTCTGGTTTTAAACAAATAGTTTCTAAATATTTTATAGGAAAATCTTGATTAATATCTTTTAAAAATTCATATACTTCAATTGGATTAAATTTAATTGTTTCTGCATTTGACATATCCATTGTTGGTGGTGATGGTGATGTTGATATTGATTCACCAACAAATAATATTAGTATATCATGAAGAATATTTTCATTCTTTGTTTTTTCTAAAGCAGACTTTATCATTGGTTTAATATATTTAAAAATTAGTGGTAATTGATTATTATCAAGTTTAGATAAATAATTAAGAATATTTTCATGTGTTGATAATGATTCTGTATTTTTAATTGATTCTAATGCTTTACTATGTTGATTTTGTTTTTCATAAAATGAAACTAATTCTTGACGACGATGATGTTTCATAAGTTCCTTTTCAACTTCTGTTGATAAGCAACACTTATCTTGATTACGTAATAATGCATTAGCTAATGTTTTATTATGATCAATTAAATAAACTTTAAGTAGAGCTGTTTCAACAATAGTTAATAAATCACGAACAGGTTTTAATATAAGTTGATTTTGAACAAATGATTGAACCTAGATGAAAAAAGTATTCAAATGAAAAACAACATAAGAAAGTTTTTTTTTCCTTACTTCAAGCCAACTATCTGATGAACGTCGGAAAACTGTTTGAAAAACTCGACGTAAATCAGTTAATTAATGTGGTCTGGGTTGAGCAACCATTATATAAAGTATTAACGAAGTGTAATTTTTGCTCTTAAATATTCTTTAACTAATTACCTTATTTTTAAAAATTATATCTACATTCTTTAAGATGCAAAATTGACTAATATATTCTTCTTTAAGACAACTGACTACACAAAGTGTGGTCGCATGTCAATGAACGCCATCTATTGAATATTTCTTTTCGACAATCTAAAATACACTTATCAAATCGAAGAAGATCTTTAAATCTTTTTTTATTTTTGACATCGAAATGAATATATCAGAATCATTCTTACAACATTAATAAGAAGTGCATTACTTTACACCAATCCGCTCATTGATTGTGAGTCATCAGAAGTCATCCACGGTTGTCAGAAGTGAACCAAACTCGACGTGAACCAAAGTCGAATCCACAGTCCATATTTCACCTATCTTGACTGATAATATGAGACTGCTATCGAAAGATGTCGTGCATGATTGGATTGTTTTCCATTGTATCTAATATTTCATGTTTTCTTCACTTCTTTTCATTTTTACGGTTTTTTTTATTAGTAAATGATCGGTTGACATTGATTATGTGTTCTGAAATCCAGAAGTTGGAATTCAAAATATTTGATGAACAATAGCTCAATATCATACGATAAATTTCGTTAAATAAGAATCTCCTATTCCGAAGTATAGTAGTCAAATTTTGAATGCCTTTGCCACTTTAGTGTCACTTGTTAGTATTGATTCATAAATATAAATATCTATCGAATTTGCTTTGTGTTCGAAGATTTATTTTCAATTTATTTCAATAATTAAAATCGAAAATATACATTTATTATCAAATGGGTTATGAAAGAACAATATAAAAAAAATTGCTATGAACATAAGTTTTAGTTACATAAGATGGTGGAAAAGAATTCAGCAACAACATTCTAGCGATCATCTTCGACCAGTAAACGTATCTCATAAGTAGTTACCTTTCATGTTAAGCAAGCTTGTAGATTTAAGAAGAGACTTTTGCTAGAGATACATATACCGTAAGTGAATACTACCTTGGTGTAATTTGAACATTGTCTTTACAGTCTCAATTGTTCTTTTAATCCCTTTAAATGAAGAAACGTACACTTTTTACCTCTCATTCTTTATCTTTTCTGGCTGCTGCATTAAAAGCACTATTCATTGTTTGTTATAGATGAGCACACCAATGAGAGTAATGACTTCTCAACATCATTTCATTAAGTGAAAATAATTCAATTACTTATTGATAAAAATAGTGTTTACCGTTTCTCACAAAATTGGTTAGCTGAAAAATTGAACATTTCATCTACTTCTATATCCAATATTTTAAAACAAAACAGAAAAATAATTAAGTGGCTTTCAAATAAATCAAAAACAAAGTATTAAATAAAAGATCGAAAGTTTTCACATTGTAAAATTTGATAAATATATTTTTGATTGAATCATTGGAGAATGTTCATCAAATTCATATGTGTCAAGTCCAAAACAATAATACATAAGTTGTGAATTATAAAAAGAAGTTTTGCATTCTGTTAAAAAGTTTTTGGATTCTTCAATATTCGAGGAAAGAAAGATGAATACCACAGGCAATGATCATTGACTATCTCAAAACTAGTAAAGAAGCTACTGTTTTGAAAATTTGTTACATCTAGCAAATTATAGGATGCTTCCTTTAAATGAATATCTTTTGAAACTGAACATTTCAGAATTTCTAACGATGGTCAGTTGGAAGAGATTTCCTGTAGTTCATTTTCTTCAACTTTAAGTTTATTATGTATAAAAAAAAAATACTTTCGTATTTATAAAATACAAATTTTAAATACAGATTTTATAACACTTTTTATAGAAGGAAATCTAGTGGACATATGTGCTGATGCATCAACAATAGTGGAAATCTTGAACATTGCTTCAATAAGTAAAACTATGGTAAGAAAAAGACTGATTGTGCACTTACAGAGATAAGACTAAAAATACTTACATTAACAGAAACAATACAATATTTATTTTTTGTTTGAAATTCTAGAGAAGTCACGATTATATCAATATTTCATATTCAAAACTGATCAGCATTCATAATTTTCGCAATAAAAATAGGCAGCTTTAGAACATTTTGTAAAGCAAATTATATATTATATATTGCTCATAATCTTTCAATTCGAATGCATTAAAATAAGTAAGATGACAAAATAGGACAAGAAATTTACTTACTGAAGAACTAGTACAGAATTTGGTACACCGACAGTTTTTGTTCTTTGTTTGAAAAAATTTACTTCATCTCTCTCAAGTCGATATATTATGATAAGCATGCCTGAAAAGTCTTGATGGTGTTAACAGTGGAGAATGAACTTATAACTTGTAACAAATGCAAAAATGCAGCAAAATTTAACACACATGAGCGCTTTTGCTTATATACGAACGTGAAAATTTTTCACACTATCCTCTAAGTTTAAAATTAGATAAAATGAACTCAATATTCTTTCAGCTTAAAATTAGGTAAAATATTATGCTTTTTTGGTCGAGAGTAGCTGATAAACTTAAATTTGATAACGATCAGAATATTGCAAAATAAGCACGATATGTGAGCATACAGCTGTATGAATTCTTACGACATAAATGTTGTTTTAAAATTATTCTAAGATTCAGTCAACATACAATTGGCAGCAATTAATCTCGCCACTAATATAACTTTTAAAATCTTTTCTTCATTGACAATGATTAATTTTTATATCTGAAAACAAAAAAAAATAAGTATCAAATAAGAGATTAGATGTAAATTTGAAGTAGAATCATATTATTCTTGTCGATAATATTCGAAAATCACCGAATTATACAACACTCTCTGAATTAGTTCAAAGTTTGCACCTGAAAAAAAAACAGAAAATTAAGAAACCAACAATTCATGTTTATGATGTACATTGTCTGTTATTCTATTATGTCTCTATCGCGTTGAAAAAGAAAAATATCATTTTGGATGGTTGTAAAACATGGACTTTTCATCTGATTGGCTTATAACTTCTATATGAAATGAGCCTATTGACTTTGGCTCACATGTTTGGCTCACTTCTGTGGACCGTCATCCACTCCATCTCCATTTTTTAATTATTTGGTATTGATATATATTGATATATGTTTTATTTGAGAAATCTTTCAACAATGCTACGAACAAGATTTGTAAGTAACGTTTGTCACAATAAATCGTTTCAAATTAAATTTGAAATAGAGTTTCAATGAAAAGTCTCTTATGCGGAAAAATATAGAAGATGATTGGATCGATATAAACGATCTTAGTTTTAGTATCAGATTTTCTTTCGTATCTCTTCAAATGATTTAAACTTGAGAAAACAATGTCATATTGTCATTGATCATTTAGAATCTGCTTCGACAATCAATAGTAACTCCAATTATTTATCATCGTGAACAAATCTCATCTGATCATTCAATTTTTTCAGACGACACTCTAAATCATCTATTTTCAAATCAGTCATCATTAGTTGTGGGCAAAGTTGTTCGTGATCACTACGAGAAACTTCTTCAAGAGAAATCTCGTACATATGAATTTGTTGAAGAACTTTATCGTACTGTTCTCGATGAAAAACAACAAATGAAGAGAGAATTAATGTACCTGAAAGGAATTCTTCATAGTCGAGGTGTTATGGAAGAATTTCGAGGTTACTTACATGGACTTCTTCAACCAAGAACAAGTACACCAATGTCTACCAAAAAACTTTATATGAAAATGCTCGAACTTGGTACCGATCCATCAAAAAATACGTCTATTGTTACACCATTAGTTGAAGATTTATTCGTATGTTTTGGCGGTGAGCTACAGAATTTATCCACCAACGATAGAGAAATGATGTTCAATACAATTCCTCATGAATTGGATCATCTCTACAATTGTTTGTCTGAATCGATTCACGCGGTTAAAATCGGTCGACATGACCGTGATTTTGTTATTTGCACGTAAAAAATCATTTCGTAGAAAATCTTCAATATTTATCTCTGTATTTATAGAGACAATTTAACTGCGAAGCAGGTGTGTTTAATTCAATCAATTGCAAAACACTATCTGCTACTAGAGCCACATGAGATTCGTGTGATGAAGTATCAAGAAACAAAAAACCAAATGAATTAACCCATCGATTTTCCAATTGTTTGATATTAATGGATCACCTTCTATTGTTATTAAACCTATAAAAAATGCGCTTTTTTTATAGAGCTAAAAAAACATCGATGGGTGTGTTATTGTAATGTTTTTGTGATAAATGTTTGTAAGAATAAACTTCCCAAAAAAATTTCATCTTTATAAGATCTGTTGTCTTAGCTTTATACACAAATAATAATATTGTTTTTCCACAGCGAAAAAATTTCCAGAGATGTGAACTTTTCTGAGTCGCTCTCATGGAAGGAGTCGTTTTGAATGAGTGAGTTACGATAGTTCAATCTTCGATGATACTACTATTATTTCGATTTTTTTTGAATGATAAAGTAGTGCTCGAAATATGATTGTAGACAGTAAGGCTATTTGTTCATTGTTTCTTCACAAAAATGCTTGATTTTGGTTGGCAACTACCATTTATCCTGGTGCTTTCTCAAAACAGATGATATCTACTCATAGGGAATATACAAAAACCTATAAAAAATATTTGAATGAATGAGTTTGATTGTGATTATGTTCAAGAAATCTTCTGCTTAACTATGACTACTAAACAGGTCCCTTTTTAGCTGGACAGGCTGTGTGAGATATTCTAAAGATGGCTTATAGGGAGTCTCATATATCTGTACATAATCAAAAATATCTGTTAGACAAAGGTTAGTGCATAAATCAAAATCAAATTTGTAATAGCATGTGAAATTTATTAAGCTGGAAATCAGATACACAATAAAAATCTAAGATATAAAGCATAGATTGAGGACTACCATAGTATTAAAATGATACATATATATGAATGATCTATAGTAGATGAAGAAAAAGAGAACACATCATCATAGACTATGAATCAAATCTAATTTTGAAGTGAAAATTTTGATCGATTAGATTATAGAAATAAGTAAATACACCTACTACAATATCATTGTGTTGGCACTGTGCAGTATCTAACTATTAAAAATAATACTTTTTCTTAAGATTAATTCAATAGAAAAAATAATAATAACTCACAGTATTTATATGATTTTCTTCTTCATTAAAACGATAATTATCATTTTTGACGCTTACCTTAATACGACGAAAGAGAATTTAAAAAAAAGCAAAGCTTAACATGAAAAGAGAATGGTTGCAGCTTACTGAACGTATGTCACACGAAAAAAATGATTTACAGAAAAATAAATAAATAAAAATATAACAAGAAAACCATAAATAAAAATATGCAAAATTCTAAACAAACAAGTAACGCTCGTCGCCGCCACTCGCTTAACCCTCGACTGAATATAGTCTACTCATTATCCATCGTTTCCTCATCGAATTCTATATTGATAATTATCGTCGAACAAACACACGTATTCTAAAATCTATACGCTATTCAAAGAGTTGGTCTTTTTTACAAGAGGATCGTCTATAAGAATAATGTATAAGTTTTTTGTATACGTGTATTCGTTAAGTGATAGTTCTGAATATATAATTTCAT